AATTTCTTTCTGTGTCTTACCCTCTTGCTTGAGGGTGTCAATGATGGCCTTCTGGACAGCAGTCAGGTCGGCAGTCTTACCCATGATTGCGGTTTTGAGTAATGAACAAGGCTGGGAGTTTTTAAAAGCCTCAGGAATCTTTTGCAGGTGTTTAGAGTTACGTCGTTGATTCAGATGGTTAGGTTAATAGCTTGTTTAGAGAACCTTTTCATGATATGCTAATTTTTTGGGACAGGCATTTTGGGTTTTCATGAGCTGTATGCCATAATCATCAGTATTAAAACGATTAAAGACCTGAAATATTTCAGTTGGTTTGCAATGAATCTGAAATATATGAAAGTTTCATTTTTATCATTACATTATGGAAAATAATGACCTTTATCACAAAATGCTAATTTTTTGAGAAGGACCTGTATATATATATATATATAATTTGAAAAAAGTAATTTGTCCAAGACTTTCAGTGTTTTTGAAAAGTCTTTTGAAACCATTACAACTATTTAAAACTGACAGTAAGTCATCCAAACAGACAGCAAAATTACAGTTCAAACAGTTTCTGTCGGTGTCATCAAACTTGTTCTGTTCTTTTGGTATGTGAGGACAATTTGAGGCATTTGACCAGCAGGGTGTGCTACAATATGCACCCTATCCTCAGTAGCTCATAAGCTCTTATTTTTATTTATTTCTTTTTTAAACTACAGTCATGCTTTGTGCATATTGTCATAGTGAATGCAACCTGCGGAACAGGATGAGCCACTCTGTTGCTTGCACTTACATTTATTTAAATGTTTTGCTGTGTTTTTCCCATTTTTTTTAGCTAATGAACTGCATGCACTATCAGATAACTGCCGTTATCTGGTCCTGTTGGCAAAAATTCAAAACAAAGTTGAAAAAAATGAAGAAGCTTTACGTTCTCTGGAAAAAGTAAGTTTCTTCCTCCTAAATATTTAGCTTTGGTACATGAAGAAATGTCTATCTACTAGTTTTTCCTGCGGCAGCACTGATCATTTTTATCGTTGCGATGACTTTCAGTAACAACGTTGTGTAACTTGGTCTTCGTAGGCTCGAACTGTGCAAGCCAAGGTGCTGAAGCTCGTGCAGTTGGAGCAGCCTGATGCCGTCCCTGCGCAGAAGCAACTTGCTGCTGAGATCTGTGCCGAGATCGCCAAACACTACACAAGTCAGAAGGGCTATGAGAGAGCAGTCAAATTCTACAAAGAAGCTCTTGTGTATTGTGAGACGGATCGCAAGGTCTGTGCAGCTGAATCAAAACCGTTCTGTGTACTTTCTGCAGCTGTGCGTAACAAGCACTGGTGTTTTTTAATCTTGTAACCCTTTTTTATTGCGTGATTTCAGTTGTTGATGGTTTGATTTAATCAAATTTATTTGCTTAGTGTTATTGTCCAAAGAACTCATGTGACATGAATGTTATCCAGATAAACGTGTTCTTCTTTAGGTGATGCTGGAGTTGGCACAGCTGTACCTTACTCTAGATGAGATTGATGCATGCAAGGACCAGTGCAGCAAAATCTTGAAGAATGATGAGTTTAATGAAGAAGCAACTCTGGTTTGTCTCTGCCCCCACAAACTTTTGAGAAACTTACACACATACACACAAAAACTACTACGTGTTTGTTCTTAGATGATGGCAGAAATACATTTTCGGAAGCAAGACTACGCCATGGCCGTTTCAGATTTTGCAGACCTCCTAAAGCACAAACCAGGTGCAGTACTTGTCTGTTTTTATCCAGAGCTAAACAGAAATGTAAGTTGATGCAATTCTCAAAATAAGTCACACTTGTTTCAGACAACTACCCAACTCTGTCACGTTTTATTGATTTGTCGAGGAGAGCTGGCAAGTTAGAAGAAGTACCCAAATCTCTGTCAGGTGCTGAGAAACATTCTTCCAGGGCTAAGTTTGACCCTGGGTTTAACTACTGCAAAGGGCTTTACCTGTGGTAAGTGTCAGTACAGTCTTTCTAAGATTATGGTCATTTTTGTTCAAGCCTTGCGACTAAATTTGTGCTTTCTTCTCAGGTACACGGGAGAACCTAATGATGCTCTTCGACATTTTAATAAGGCTCGGAAAGACAACGACTGGGGACAAAACGCCGTGTACAACATGATTGAAATCTACCTAAATCCTGACAATGATACAATCGGAGGAGAAGTGTTTGAGAATTTAGATGGTGAAATGGGGTGAGCTGACCTATCGCGACGGGTTCCTCGATTAGCTCACAGGCTTTAGTTTAATGATAACATGTTTCCTCTTTGTCACTCCTCAGCAACTCCACAGAGAAGCAAGAGTCAGAGCAGCTTGCTGTGAGAACAGCAGAGAAGCTGCTCAAGGAGATAAAGCCTCAGACGCCGGGCGGACATGTACAACTCCGCATCCTGGAGAACTACTGCTTGCTTGCTACTAAACAGAAGGCCAATATAGAGAAAGCACTTAATGTTTTCACAGAGATTGCAAACAATGAGGTAAGTAAACTAATGATGCGCATTAAGTCACATTACTCCTTGTGTAAATATATGGCCGCACTAGGAGCTGTGTGTTATTTCAGACTATCTTGTCTGTCAGTTCCATCTGGGTATAAAGTGCCCATTCAGGCTGAATTTATCATTACAATGGTAGTAGTTCAGCTGTATAAATGTGTGGTGCGTTTAAAATCATCCTATTTCATTTAAATTCTCCGGTTCAATTCAGAAAGACCACGTCCCAGCTTTGTTGGCTATGGCCACAGCTTACATGATGCTGAAACAAACTCCCCGAGCCAGGAACCAGCTCAAACGCGTTGCGAAGATGAACTGGAACACTGCTGATGCCGATGAGTTTGAGAAGAGCTGGCTCCTCCTGGCAGACATATACATTCATTCAGGGAAGTATGACATGGCTGGGGACCTTCTGAAAAGATGTCTCAATCACAACAAGGTCAGCCTGAGAAGGTTTTTACTCCTTGAATACAACATCAAGGCAACTTTGTTCACTAACTTGCAAACATCCTTTTTTTTGTGTGCATTTTAAAGTCTGACACTTTAATCTGAATGTGGAACTGCACTTTTTCCCAGTCATGCTGCAAAGCCTATGAATATCAGGGATACATAATGGAAAAAGACCAGGCATTCCGTGATGCAGCTCTCAGCTATGAACTGGCTTGGAAATATGGAAATCAGACTAACCCAACTATTGGTATGACAAGCAAAATCAGATGTTCACTTTTTTTTCTTAAGCTTTAAGAAAGCTATATTTCTAACATCTTAATGTGTGTGTGTTTTATTCAGGATACAAGCTCGCTTTTAACCACTTGAAATCAAAGAGACATGTCCATACCATAGATGTGTGCCACAAGGTGAGACATCTGTATATGAATGTTCAGGTTTACGTCTTTGATGTGGTTTTATGATTGGAATCAGCTTTATGTCTGTCCACAGGTTCTTGCTGCATATCCAAATTATCCCAAAATGAAAAAAGAGATTCTGGACAAAGCTCGTGCTACCTTGAGATCATAATGCCGGACATATGTGCACGTGTGTACGAGAGACAGAGAGTTTTATTGTTTGAATTTTTACAGTCAAATTAAAAATGTATAGTCATACGTTTTATTTCACTGGGAAGAACCTCAAACATACTGCTATATTTTCAGAGCATATAAAAAGCTGGCAGTCCAAAGAGAAATTCCAGACATAAAGCAGCTACATAAATGTTTTTGCAGTGTAAGAGGACCTTATAGAAGGGGGATCTTATGAACAAATGTACTCTTTGTAATTCCACAAAAGGTGTTCATCGTGACGATTGTTGCTCTCTTCAAAAACAAATAAAGAATTCAAAGTTTTTTTTTATTGTCATTCACATCACATGTGGTACATGAGGTGGAACAAAACTATGCACACAGGATCCCAGTTACATCCAACAAAAATACAAATTGCAAAGAAAAACAGTAATACGATCCAAGACATGAACTAAGAAATACACTAAACTAAGAATACATTAAACTACTAATACACTAAGCACTAATAGTACAAAGCAATGTGCCAAACAACAGCAGCACGAACATGAGTCTGTGTGAGCAGATGAGTACGAATAAACAGAGCAACATGAAATAACTCAGCAGCATGAGATCAGCAGCATGAGATCAGCAGCATGGATAGTCAGCAGCACACATCAACAACCAAGTGGCATTACAGTGATAATCCTGACTATGGATTCATGAGACTAACAGCCTCAGGGTAGAAGCTGTTCCTCAGTCTAGTGGTTCTGTCCTTAATGCTCCTCAACCTCCTTCCTGAGGGGAGCAGGTCAAAAAGTGTATGTGCTGGGTGAGTGGGGTCCTTCATGATGCAGGTGGCCCTCTTTGTGCATCTGGAGGTGTAGATGTCTGATGGTGGGGAGATTGACTCCAACAGTCTTCTGTGCAGCCTTCACCACTCTCTGCAAAGCTTTTCTTTCTGCAGCTGTGCAGCCTCCATGACACACATTGATGCTGCACCAACCAAGGTAAGGGTGTAAAAATAAAGTAAAGAAAAATATATATTTAATAAATATAATAATAAAGGTATTTAAAATGAAAAAAGCCCTTTTTTATTATTGTTATTTTACCCATAAGATTCAGTTTTTGTTTGTTAATGATGCCCCCTCCTGACTGAGGATGGACACCCTGTGTCCACGCAGACAGAGCGTTGTAATGGACATAATAAACTGCTGCGGCGTGGAGGCGACGGGGGGACACGGTCCCTGCAGGTGGAGGAGTCACTGCGAGCCGGAGACAGAAAGACACTCCAAATCTGCCTCACCGCGGGTGGACTCCTCTTCTCTCTGTGTCTGTGGGACATTTAAAGGATTAGACGAGAAGCGGTGAGTGTCGGCTTTCTTTCACGTAAAGCTCAAGCCGCCCCCACGGAGTCGAAATCTTGACTTCTTTTGTTTCACGATGATGTGACTTTTCAGTTTTAACAGCACTCGTTCATTAAGTTTCAACCCTGCGTGAAAGATGTGCGTTCCTGCGCACGCAGCAACTTCCCAGTGACCATTTGAACAAATCCATTACTTTACCGACTCCGAGGAGGAGCGCGAGCTTTTATTCCTCTAAACTTCACCTCGTATCCTGTTTATCAACAAGTTCCGTTCAACGCCTGACTTCAACCTTTGGGCTACTTTTTTTTTTTTTTTTTGTCGGTATCATCCTTCAGAAGTTTCTTCAGGTATGGACTAGTCGTCAGTGCGCAGGCGCGTCGGCGTGTCCCCGCCCTCTACCTGAGGAGCGCACCTGGATCCAACAAAACGGAAGTTAAGTTAAGTTTAGTCAGAGTGGGTCTTGGATCATCTACTGTTTGTGGAGCTGAAGCACCAAACGACACGATGTTAAAGCAGGATGATGATGGTCGTTGGATTTTTTGAAAACACCTAAAAGTTCATCCACTCATATGGTACGTGTTTTAATCTGAAGGAATCCATAGCCGAGGTTGTTTGCTGATTTAGTAAAGCACTTAAAGCTAAACACTTATTGAGTGTATCAGGTAATCATTGTGTTTTCTTAAACATTTTCTGAACTTTTCAAACGTTATTAATGGTTGTAAATGTTTGTTGCAGCTGAATCTCAGTCCAAAGGCAGCCTGATCCTCTCCATTAACAAAGAATGACAACTCTTCGCAGAGTTCTCCGAAGAAGACTGCACCCTTATGTACTGGCAATAGTGGCCCTAGTGTTTGTGACATTTGTGTTCTTCATACAATGGGAGGTTGGTACCCAAAGCCAGCCGGAGGACCCTTGGCTGAAGGGGATGTCCGTGAAGCGGGACAACGTGCTGGGTTTGGTGATGGGAGCTGTCAATAACCTGAGGGACTCCATGCCAAAGATGCAGATCAAAGCCCCGGTGAGGCAGCAGGGTCAATCAGGCAGTGGCTCCTGCCTGCCGGGTCACTACACTGCTGCTGAGCTCAGACCGGCTCTGGAGAGGCCGCCTCAGAACCCGCTCGCTCCTGGAGCTGCTGGGAAACCTTTCCACACAAACTCACTGAGCCCCGAAGAGCAGAAGGAGAAGGACAGGGGTGACGAGAAACACTGCTTTAACGTTTACGCAAGTGACCGCATCTCTTTAAGCAGAGACCTGGGAGCAGACACAAGACCACCGGAGTATGTGAAAATCATGCTTTTTTTAAATCTTCATAAATCTGTGCTCACTGAGCCAAAAAAAAAAATCACACTGTTCTAGTTTTTTTTTATTTTTTCTCTTTTCAAACTCTGGAAATTATCCACACGTATTGTAATGTTGATAGGGTAATTTGACAGGGCAGTCTAACTCAAACAAATTTCTCGTACTTGCTACAATGGGTGAAAATGTCAGAGCAACCACAGAGATGATTAAAGTGACTGAGACATTGTTTCAACATGCCTGCTCAATTACTTTGGCCAAATTCAGACAGACGCACAGATTTCTGACATCCGAGTACAGTGAAACCTAATGACTTCCTGTGTATGCTGCACGGGTTAGACCTGGTGTACGTCTATGCACTGGATGATCTGCTAAATCTCCTCCACTCCCAGCATGGCAGGTACTTTAAAAGTTGCCTCATGATGTGTCACAGATGAAATGGACTCCACAAGGGAGAGAGCCTGCAAATGTAATAACCAGACCATGACACCTTGGAAACTATCCAGGATAGTCAGGTATTTATTTTCTGTCCTTCTAATGCAGGTGTATTGAGCAAACCTTCAGGCGATGTCCCCCCTTGCCCACCACCAGTGTGATAATCGTGTTTCACAATGAAGCTTGGAGCACTCTGCTCAGGACAGTATACAGCGTCCTCCACACCTCTCCGGCCATTCTCCTCAAGGAGATCATCCTGGTGGACGATGCCAGCGTTGATGGTAAAAACTCAAGAGGGTCTTTCAAGACCGCTCAGGTCTCACTTTTCAGTCTTGATTATATGCAGCATGGTGGGTGGGCAGCGTTAAAACGAGCCTCGTGTTCCTGTGGCATCAGAAGTGGGTAACAAATAGCCTCAAAAGGCTGCCAATGAGTACTTTCCATAGTGGTATTAGACGAGAGCGAACTTAAGTTGAGTTGACGCTTGCAAATGGGTCAAATGTTGTAAAGGAAACGTAACGCTTAAGAGAACAGCGTTTTGGGGAATACTGTCCATTTGACATTTAAAACTCTGGGATTTGTAAGAAGTATGCCACAAATGGAGTACAATTCTTTTTTGTTTGCCAGGCTCTGGACTTCTAAATGTCTAATGAATATCCTGTGCTTTCAGATGTTTTGAAGGATGAGCTGGATGAGTATTTGAAGAGGCTGAGCATCGTGCGAGTAGTTCGCCAGCGAGAAAGAAAAGGACTCATAACCGCTCGGCTGCTGGGTGCCTCTGTGGCCACCGGTGACACGCTCACCTTTCTCGACGCTCATTGTTAGTCAATACCACTGACATTACTCATGGTCTTAAAAGATTTTACACACCCTTACTTACACACCCACAACTGCACAAAGCAATGTTTACTTTTCTTAAAGGCCAAGATACAAGTTATTAATAAAGTTGTGACGCAGTGTCTGTGTGTGTGTCAACAGGTGAATGCTTTAATGGATGGTTGGAGCCTCTGTTGGCAAGGATAGCTGAAAACTACACTGCTGTAGTGAGTCCTGATATAACCACTATTGATCTCAACACGTTTGAGTTTATGAAACCGTCCCCGTATGGACAGAGCCACAATCGGGGCAACTTTGATTGGGGTCTTTCTTTTGGATGGGAGACTCTACCAGATCATGAGAAACAACGGAGGAGGGATGAAACGTATCCCATTAAGTAAGTATTATAAATCGTCACCTCCTTTTTATCGTTTTAACCCTTAAAATTATGTTTAAGAATTATGTATTTTGTTTTACAGGACTCCCACGTTCGCTGGCGGCCTCTTTTCTATCTCTAAAGACTATTTTTACCACGTCGGAAGCTACGATGAAAAGATGGAAATCTGGGGAGGTGAAAATATTGAAATGTCTTTTAGGGTAAGACAGTAAGCTGTTGTCTTGTGCAGCAGTTCTGATTTATCGCCCTTGGGAGTTTTTCTGGTATGCCGACGTCTTCACGGGTGTGTCTTAACTGCGTGTCATTGTGCGTCTGTGCCTGTCTGTTCCCACCAACCTGCAGGTGTGGCAGTGCGGTGGACAGCTGGAGATCATCCCGTGCTCCATTGTTGGTCACGTGTTCCGCACTAAAAGCCCCCACACCTTTCCTAAAGGTACGCAAGTTATTGCTCGAAACCAAGTACGGCTGGCTGAGGTTTGGATGGACGAGTACAAGGAAATCTTTTATCGTCGTAACCAGCAAGCAGCGCGAATCGCAAAAGACGTAAGCGACACTTCTACATCTAATCTGCTTCTTAAGCTGTATCAGTTTAGCATTTTTAATTCTGAGAAGCAACAAATTGCTCTGAGTCTTGGTCTTTCATTTTATTCATGGCTGTAAATAAGTGTTTTGAAGGCTACTTATTATCTCCCTTTTTAGGCAAGCTCAAGCAAATCCTGCTCTTGTTCCTGAATTGCTCACAAGCGTTATGATTATGAGTTGCTGAACATGCTCTGCAAGTAAAAGCAAGGAGAACAATTTAGTATTGTACTGCTTGGTGTACAGTAATACCTAAAAACATTGATGCATCCTTCAGAATGGGGAGACGTAGATCCGCTGTCAAAGTATGGAACATATCGACTAACAATGAAAAGCTCCAAAGGAAGTCCGCTCTGGTAAATGACAGCCCCTCAGCGTTTGCCAACATGTGGTCTCATAGGGATCAGGGCTGTGCCTAACTGACGAGTCCAGCTCTGTCCCACTGTGCCATCAGTGCACACTTGTGCAAGCACAATTGTCCTCATTAAGGGCTCAGTGTTTAAGAGCATGAGGTGCCTCCAGATCCTTTGAAATGTGCTTTTACACTTCACTTTAAAAGAAACAGCCATCAAATACTTGTTTGTAGCTGATTAATCAAGTGGGAGCACAGGGATACTCGTCATTACATCAGAAAATCTGAGCGATAACAGCAATATACACTGCCTGTTCAAAAAAAGTCGCCACCAAAAAAAAATAAAAAAATAAAAAGTTCACACTAATATTTCCTTGGACTGCCTTTAACTTTGATTACGGCATGCATTCGCTGTGGCATCGTTTCGATAAGCTTCTGCAATGTCACAAGATCTATTTCCATCCAGTGTTGGATTAATTTTTCACCAAGATCTTGATGACTAGGCACTAGGCGTGATGGGTGCATCACTTCACCTGCCTCTCTTCTTACCCTGATGCGCCCATCACTCTGGAACAGGATAAATCTGGACTCATCAGACCTTTGACCTTCTTCCATTGCTCCAGAGTCCAATCTTTTTGCTTCCAAGCCAATTGAAACCTTTTCTTCCAGTTAGCCTCACTGATTAGTGGTTTTCTTAAGGCCACACAGCTGTTAAGACCCAATCCCTTGAGTTCCCTTCGCATTGTGCATTTGGAAATGCACTTACTTTCACTATTAAACATAGCCCTGAGTGCTACTGTTGTTTTTCTTCTATTTGATTTCACCAAACCTTTAAGTGATCGTCGATCACGATCATTCAGGTTTTCCAGCCACATTTCTTCCTCGGAAGCCAATGGGTCCCCACCATCCTTCCAGTTTTTAACAATGCGTTGAACAGTTCTTAACCCAGTTTAAGTAGTTTCTGCAATCTCCTTAAGATGTTTTCTCTGCTCGATGCCAATGATTCGACCCTTCTTAAACAGACAGACATCTTTTCCATGACCACGCCGTGTGTCTTTAAACATGCTTAAGAAATGAGAAGCAACTCATTGCACCAGTTGGGGTTAAATAACTTGTTGCCAGCTGAAAGATAATCGCCCATTCAGTAATTATCCAATAGGAGGCTCGTACCTATTTGTTTAGTTAAATCCAGGTGGTGACTTTTTTTTTTTTTTTTTTGGGCCAGGCAGTGTAGTACACACAGCACTTTTTTTATGCTTTATCTTAAGTGTTTGCTTAATTTTATCTGTGTGTAATTTGCATGAGTTTAAAATGACCCTTTTCTAAAAGACCTTTTACCGTGAATAAGAGTGTTTGTATTAAAAATGCCTAAATGCATCCATTCTGTTTTAAATTTCTTTTTTTTTTTTTGAGTGGAAACAAACATTTTCCAGTTCTTTTAGACAATTGTTTTAACAGATTTAAACCTGGGAATGAAAACAAGAACAAGCTAGTTCTTTTTAACTATTCATATTAAATATTTCCCCCAAATAAAACTGTCTAGGCTTTGCTAAATTAAGTTTGTTTTTTTTCATTGTGTTTCAAAGTAAAGTCAGCACATCAGGATTTGTTCAGTTCTTCCTGATGTTATCATTCTAACAGAGACATTTTGGAGACATCTCCGCCCGCGTGGACCTCAGAGAGCGGCTGCAGTGCAAAAGCTTCTCGTGGTTTTTGAAGAATGTTTACCCAGAAGTCTTCATGCCTGATCTCAACCCGCTCCTCTTTGGCTCGGTGAGCTCACACAACCTACCAAGATCTCTCCGTCCTTTCCAAATCTCCAAGTTCCGTCTAGTTGCTGTAGGTTTCCACTTTGGGACCTCCTGAGGGTGCAAGGCTGTTCCAGTTTAACACCACTGAAAACACTTCAGAGGCTCAAGTTGTTTGAACAGCTTGTGCTGGATGTTGGTTTTTCATTTTGTTTCCTCTCGTGCTCTCCTTTTTTCCCCTTCTCTCTTTCTGTAGGTTAAAAATGTGGGTAAAGCCTCATGTATGGATGCTGGGGAGAACAACGAGGGGGGAAAACCACTGATTATGTACCCATGTCATGGACTTGGAGGAAACCAGGTCAGAAAGAAAATGTTGCTTCAGTCACTTTTGGCAAAACCTTGTAGTTCACACTTCAGCCACATCACCTGTTTTTTTTTTTCTTTTCTAATTCCTTAGTATTTTGAGTACTCCACACATCTAGAGATTAGACACAACATTCAGAAGGAGCTGTGTTTGCATGCCACAGAGGTGGCTGTGAAGCTGGAAGACTGCCAGTACAAAAGCAGGAATACATTAGTGGGAGCAGAACAGAGATGGGAACTGAAGGATGTGAGTTTGCCATTTTTATTTTTTTTTTTCCTTTGAAGCAAACCAATTTGTGATTCCAGATACCTGGATTATGTTTACAGAGAAGTAATATTTTATTCTTTCTGCATTTAGAACCAGTTGCTCTACTTACCAGGATGGAGCATGTGTCTGACTGCTCGTCACGAGCTTCCCTCTTTGGCTCTGTGCAACCCCTCGGACAGATACCAGCACTGGTCCTTCGTCTAAGTGTGCAAAACACTACTTAAAACATGTCTACTTTGTATGCACGAGCATACTCTAGGACACGAGTATTCTATAATTTATGCAGTTTTTTTTTTTTTTAGCTCAGTAACCTCTTTGAATTTTAATTTATTTTTATACTTGGAAGAACTGAACTACTGCTGCTGGAACGTCTGGACTTTAGAAGAAACCATCATGTGCCACTGTTACAAGGAAGTCAACAGTTCTTGCAGCAGTTAAGACGCACGTTAGACAAGTGCCTCTTTTTTACGTTTTACACGTCTTAATAGCTTCACAATCCAAATATGCAATATTTAAAGTCAGCCTATACTTTAGTGAACTCGAGTGGGGCGGACAACAGGCTCAAGCTGGTTATGTGATGCACCAAAGAGACAGAAAGGAAAAGGCAGAAACACACGAGACTGACAAGCATTGACCCATTGAAGTATATTCTTTAAAGTATAAGATTGTTTATTTGGAACTGTCCAGTGCTTTTTGATGGCATGTTTTTTTAACTAGTATTTTATCTTTTTATTTTATAAAATTTTTGTGACCGAGGTATGCAATTGATGAAGGTTGAGAGGTTGCAACAAACCATTACCTATTATTTTCTGCTTTTTAAATATATATTTTTTTTTATCTAAAGAGAAAGGGAATTGCTAATTTTTATATCAGTTTAGACAAGTGTTTGGACTTAATAGGTGTTAAAATAAAATTTTTTGTCTTCTCATCTGTAAGCATACAAACACATTTCACTCTTAAACATCTCTTAGCTGCATCAACATCTTTAGTTATTATTAAAAAAAAAGTATTGTTTTTAGAAAGACATTAAGAAAGTATTCACAAAAAACAAACTTCATCAAATGCCTGAAGCTGTCTTCTTGTGTGCATCTTGTCAAGAGTCCACAAATGTATATTTTGGTGCAAGCACTGGTGATTTTGATGACTGTGAAATAATCTTTGTGACTGGTTAAAGATGATTGAACGTTTGTTTTTGTCAAATGGAAACAGTTTAGTGTTACCGTGCCATGATGAGATGTTATTTTGAGTAAAATAAATTCTGTTGAGTAGTTCCACCTCGTGTTATTGACCCCTGTAGCCTGCAGAGGGCGCAGTGCACATAGAAATGGCACATTTATATAACATGTTTGTTCTGCACCAGCATATTAACTCATAACTGATTGACACCACAAAAAACACTTTTTATAAAATTTATTTGAAAACCATGTTGGCTCTATTTACATTTGGAAACCAAACACATTGGAAACAAAAGTACCATTTTGTGCAAATCGTCTGCATTTCACCAAATAGAAAACCAAATTAAATAAACCAGGCACGTGAAGCATTTACAACTAACTTGAAACAAAAGACAATATTAAGATAATCAGTTTTACTTTAGTAAATCACAATAAATACACATTTCAATATTTTTCATTCATAATAAATACTGGAAAAAGAATCCAAACAGGATGTAGTGTCACTGGAAGGAGCCGCCTGATCACTTTGGCACAAAACGTATCAGTAACCGCTAATGTTGATGCCTTTGAAAGTCGTGTTCACTTCCCAATGCTAGTCAACAAACAAACACAAAAACTTTAGCACTAAACCTTTTGATTATGAAGAAGCTGCAGATATTTGCAAAAAGATGCAAATGTTTGTATTCATGCAGGAGCAATAAGCTTTTTGTAAAAGTACTGTATTTTTTCGGACTTTAAGGTGCACTTAAAATCTTAATTTTGTTAAAAATTGACAGTGAGCCTTATAATCCGGTGCGCCGTGCATATTAATTATGGTTGTGCTTACTGACCACAAACTGATTTTTAAGTGGTTATTGTGCATGAGTTGAATAAAGTTTGACTTATACTGTTTTGTTTCGCTTAATGCGCCTTATAGTCCGAAAAATACGGTATAACACTGCAGTCATTTCAGAGGGGGTTGTCAGTTATATGAAAAAAACATTTTTTTTGCTTTTCTTTTTACATGTTTTTTTTCCTAAGATCTGCTTTTCAGTTATTTTTGATGACGAACAGACGTCTTGGGTTGATTTTACTGCTGATTTGTGGGATCATGTTTGAACATAAGCTTTGATTGTCAACTGTGAGCATTTGTTTCCACCAGACTTATTTAAGAATCTGTAATCGTGTTTAATAAAAGCTGTGGCGCTTTAGATAAAATGTGTACAAGTACAGGACAGCCTGGATACAGCTATTGCACTTCAGAAGGACAAACACATTTGCATCCAATCCACATAAATAAACCTCTTGGTTCTTAAACAGATTTTCTCAAGTAGTCACCGCCCGTCTATCAAGCTTCCTCCACTATCTGAAAATATACCAACCGCTTTATTAAAATCCCTGTTTTGATGAAAACCGTCAAATTCATTTGTAGTGACATGCTAATTATGTGTGTATTTTAAAAGTGAAGGGTTAGAAACGTAAAACCCACTGCATGCCACTGGACCCCTTCACATACTTTCAGTGCAAAGAGCTTTATATTGACATGCCTGTTCATCTTGGATCCCAAAGATATTTTTTTATGCTTTTCAGACTCATAGAAAAGCGTTAAATTATGCCACAAACAAAAAGCAGAAATGTACATTATGAGTACTGCACTTTTTTCAATACATTGATACAAAACAAAGATATATTTTTTCCACAAATGTCACCGAGATTTCTAAAACTGCATGCACGTTTTTTCAAAACATTTCCACTTTTAAGCTACAATAAATAAACTGACAAACTTTTTTTTTTTTGTTGCACATTTGACACATACAGCAGACATAGAAAAGTTCAATCTACAGTACAATATCTGCTTAAAGTTAGAACTTTACTTCAAAAGTTACAGAATACTTTGCACAGCATGAAATAAATACAATGCGTTATTTTTCTTATCTGCTTTGTGTTGTCGTTGAACAGTTCCTCAAAATGGTTTCCACTGCAAACTGTATGGCATTACAGTTACAGATGAAAATGGACTGTTTTGTAAATTGCTTTAAACATTATTGTAGGCCTGTCGCAATAAACAATAAATCAATTAATCGCATGATAAATGAAAATTATCAACCTGATTTTCATTTATCGGCTATCGTTTCTTCATGTCTCTTTCTACTGAAGACACTGGACGACAAAAAAACTCAACTCTGGTGCTCTTCACTGACCCCTCCCCTTCTCTTTTCAATCCATTTTAACTGTCCACAATCGTGTTTTTGGATCGTTAAAAGCAACTAAGCTTATTAAAAGCTTTGTGTAAAAAATGCTATGTTAAAGAGCTCAAACCACACAGAGCATCCGCCATTTTGAGAACCGAAAAACTTGAGAGACAGCCCATGTCACGTCAAGGGGCCTCTTTCTTAAAGCCACACTGCTCGCTCCCTCACTATCCATAGTTTGGTTCAAACAGTCTTATACTGCCATCCGGTGGTCAAAAAAGGTACTACATGCAAAACAAATTAAAAATTTCTTCTTAAATTTGACAATAATTACTAATTATTGTCAAATTTCAAACAATATTATCGTTTATCACAATAATTTCTGTGACAATTACTGGCCCGGCAAAATTTGTTATCGTGACAGGCCTACGTTATTGTGAAAGTGGGGAAAAAAGCAACGATTTTGTTTTCTAGAAACACAACTTGGCCAGACTCAAGTGAAGACATAATCATGAATGAACACTTTATTATAAGGTGCGCCCTTCAGATAGCTGTGACCTCAGGGCAATGGTCTGGTAAAGGAAGGTTCTTTGTATTGTTTGCTAGTAAGGTTAGGTCAGAATGTCCATTAGCACTTGACTCCTTTGGAGGCTGCTCAGCTGTCATACGTGCACTGTGACTGCTGTAGGAACTTTGACTGTTATTAAGGTAGTTCTGAAACTGTGTCTCGTTCTGGTTCTCCGTCTGCTCCGCAAACACCGCCTTGGACAGCACCTTGTTGTTCTGGTCAGGTGTGTAGCTGGTCAACGGGGCAGCAGTAGGGCCACCATTCAGAGTAAAATGGGGACTGGCCGAGTACTGGTCCTCTGTCTGATTAGAGTAGCCTGTGTACTGCTCGGCAGACAGGCTGAATGGTCCTTGCACCACATTACCGTTGGTTGTACTGACTGGATCTTGGAATGCTAAGGCTTCCCTGTAGGATTCACTGGGTTGACTGGTTTGACTGTTCAAGTCTGTACTGGAGTTCCCCAGCTGATAGTACTCAGCCGAGGAAGAGTTCATCAAGTAAGGGTTTCCATTGATGTGATCGTGTCCCACAGAGCCATCACTGTAACACATCACAGAGGACAATGGCACCACTTCGGTGTGAGAAACTGCTGGCGTCGTTAAGTCTTCCTCAAAATTCACACATTTCTCTGCATCGTCATCGTCACCCTCCTCATCCTCAGAGTCACTGTTAGCCAAGCTCTGTGTGCTGGAGTCAGACAGCCCACTGCAAATGCTGCTGCTGTCCTCCTCCTCTTCTTCATTCTCCTCCTCCTCCTCTTCATCTTCTTCCTCATCATCATCTTCATCATCATCTAGCGGTTCCTCCAGCTCATCTGCAGCGGGCAGGTGCATACTGGTCGTCTGAGGGACGGAGTCGGTCAGCGAGTACTCTAACCGGTGCTGCGCCTCTGCAAAAGGGTTTCCGCTTCCCGAGTCGTTAGCGTTGCCACAGTAACCGTTGGTTGAGGATGTCTGCTGCTGCTCACGGCTCTTCTCCAGCTCCAGCTTCATGATGGTGTGTAGGAAGTGGGTCCGGACACGGATGGGATTAAACTCCACTCTTCCAGCTGAATTGCTGCAACCTTCTTTAGTGCAGCCACACGGAAATGACATTCGATCCACCTGAGAGAAGCACAATATTCACCATATGGTGCATCATTAACATGCATATATTCCTTTTTTTTTCCCCCATTTAAATATAATTTTATTCACAATATAGAATCATAGATGTGTGCATTATGGGATGTACCTGACACTTTATCCCTGCGATACTGCAAGCACAGGTCTCTGGGTCACAGAAAACCCTGCAGTCGCAGCCACAGTCCTCCCTGGACATGCGAATGGTTTGAAGCTCGTGCTTCTCCTCCACGTCGATCTTCTTCACCCCCGAGGAGCGCAGCAGCACTCTGCGCTTTTTAGTGGTAAGAGGCTGCAAGAAGAAGTACTCATCAACCTCTGTGTTGTCCGGATCGATGTCATCATCAGAGATGTCCTCTGCTGTGAGCGCGTCGGCCTCCTCAGACTCCACGGTGCCGTTCTTGGTCAGCTGAGAAACAAAATGGGAAAACATTAAGACACGATTGTAAAAAGACGTGGTTCATGCCTGAAGACTGAACCTGGCTCATACTGTGGAAACGTTTAATTGGGAAAAATATCATTTTGATACAAAAATGTAAAAATATCCATTGTTAGATTTTTAAAACATCTATTGAAACTCCAACAACCCAAACAATTGATAGTTATTGGGGACTGCCTACTAAGGCAGCACCAATTATTATCCACCTGACTTGGGGTTTCTTAACTTTATATCTTAGTCTTCTGTCAACGTTAATGTGGCCCAAACTGCAATGTGTACCCCACAAATGTTACATCAAAATGACAGGCTCGGCATCGCAATGTGTGCTATTATTTTCATTGCCGTTTTGAGTTATCATGGCGATGTAATTTGTAAACAAATAAGCCATTGTTCTCATTCAAAATGCCTGACGGAACTCAACAGCTTCCAACAGCTATAACTCAATCATTTTTTGAGATATTGAGCTGAAATTTGCTCTGGTCGTGGGTTTTCATACATTCCTAATGCAAATTAAAATACCAAGATGTCCACTTGAGCTAAAAACGATGAGAACGTTTCCCATCACATACTGAATCCAAATCAAAAATCCAAGATGGCTACTTTAGTTAAAGGAAACAATATGATAGCCATTTTTAGAGCTATTCAGTTGAAATTTGGTATTGTGGTAGCTGAGAGCAAACCTGGAAACAAAGTACTGTCAAATCAAATTTTTTTAATTGGCAGCAGCGTGGCAGTCCCCACCAAAGTTTCTCTAGGAACTTTCAAGTTTTATTTGTTGTCTCATGGATTTTGGAGCTACAGTATGTATTATTGTTTTACAAATATTTCTGAGCTCAAGTTTCTGTGAAATGTGTTGAAATGTAACCTGAACATTAATTAAAAAACAAACAAGCGTGCAAATGAACAATCGATCTTTACTTAAAAACAATGTATGTCCATGTGATTTACTTTCTTTTTTTGTATTATCAACTGTAAAAGTCATGAGGTTAGAAACTCAACATCACAAACATAAATATTATTTTGAACTTCAAAAAATTTTGGACAATAAATAAAATCTGAACTAGACAATATAATATGCCATATATAATATCTCAAATAGACTAAAAATATATCAATCTTATAAGGCTTTACGATATTTTAATGGTCTATTTTTCTGATAGACTGCCTTAAACTTGTTTTTGTATGGTAAAGTTGAACTATTATTTACAAACATAAAAAATGGTGATGTCTTTGTATACTTTTGTTGCCTACATTTTGCAATATTTAATTATTTCTCATTTTTTTACTATGTAGATTTTTAAAAGAACATTCAGGAACACAGATTTCTTTAACTGAAATTTTGTTTTTAAATGTCTTCAAGTAAAATATTTTGTACACTTGGCCCAACAGTTACAGAATAGTAATTTGAAAAATGTAAAACTTAGTTGCAAATACTGTAATTAAAACGAGAAAATGTCACTTGTTAAAATCCAAAGGTTATCTAAATTAGGTTTTCAACCAAATTCGTCAATATAAACTATTTAACAACAGCTGTTTAGTTGCAATTGAGTCTAAAGATAAACCAAATGCAAAGAAAGATGAACAACTGGTGATATTTAAAAAGAAGAAAAAAAAAAATCACATTTTTTCTATGAATCCTGACATTGGGAGGGTTGGATGACAAAAAGGGGAGCTAAGTGACAAAGTATTTATTTTAAACTAATAACTTTTACACCAAAGACTCAATTCTATTTAGTCTTTAAAATGTTGTTAAAGTATTAATTTTTGGAGCTGCTTTTAATGTATTTTTGCTGTTCAAAGACGAGCTCAAAACACATTTTTACCTTGAGTTTGACAGAGTTGAGTTTCTCCTCCTTCAAGTGATCTCTGAGCATATCTCTGTGGATCCTCTCCTGCTCCTGGGCAAACTCCCCTAGGGAGTACTGCCTGACCCAGCTGTGCCTGTTGGACATGCCCAGTGTGCTGCCGCCCTGGCTGGGCACGCTGGTGAAGCCCTGCCGCCGGCAGAAGTAGTACACCGTCACATTCTCAAAATGCACTCTCCTCGCACGCAGACGCTTCTCTCGCTTCAGGATCGAGTCGGCTGCAAGGGAAAATGGGACTGTTGAAAAGAAATAGGTGGTACAGGGCAGACATTTCTAATTTTAAGTCGTGTTTTATGACATTTAGAGAAAAAAAAAAGTTACAGTCTTCAAATCACAGCGTTGCCTACAATAAGGCATTGCTTCTGTCTTGCCAATAATAACAGAACACCTTGCAGCGTGTTTCTTGAACTTAGCACAGATTCTTCAGCCGTTCTGCTTGCCAAGCGATTCCCCTGTGTGTCTTTTTAAGGAGAGCTCAACAAGGGGGAGGTGCAAAGAACAGCAGCATTCCCAGTGTTCATGCCACCGCTCCTACCCCCTCTTTACAATACACACACACACTCACACACATCCCCCAAACAGAAAGGACAAATAGAAACCATCTGGTTCCTGCAATTCTCCACTCAATGTAATAAGGACATAATCTTCAGAAGAGAAGTTGTCGTATTGAGGCAAATAATCAGAGCAGGTTTTCATCACAGTCTAAACGAGATAAAAAATATAAAGTTGCATGAATGTGCACATGCTCACTAACGTACAGGTGTTGCTATTAAACAATTCCCCTCTCCAGCTTTAGCACATCATTATACTGTTCAACGAAAAAATAACGCAGCGCTGTTATTTTTTATTCAAGTTTAACCCCAGCTGTTCATTCACACATTGATCCATAGGAAATATGATAGATTTTAAAACCTGCAAAGAGCACTTCTCTTTTGTGATTGATATTAATAAAATAAATTAAATATTGTTGATAGGGTCTACATTGTCATTCAGTGAGATAAAGAATTACAGTGGAATCTCTCTACCACTGAAACGTTTGTAAAAAAAAAAAACAAAGAGGAGAGAAGATTCTTCTAACCTACTATGTAAATGTGGAGAAAAAATTATTTGCAACCTTTGAAATGAATTAAGCACAACAGAAGGAGTTTAGAAAACAAAGGCATATGATAGTATCATTTAAAATTGTTGTAAACTGAAAAATTGATAAAGATTTTATTGTTGATTGATATATTTTAAGTGAGAGTGATAACGGTTTAAATTCAGCATGACAGCTTCCGTACAAGAGACAGAAAAGAACATACATAAAGCAACACACAATAGAAAAAGAGTAAATCTGTAAATATGTAATATAATGTTGATAATAATTTTATATCTATAATTTAAGATATAGCATCAGTGCAGCGAACAGGTATGTGATTTATGTCCAGGCAAATTTAGGATTTAAGCCAATTTGTGACATTCCATGCGTACAAAATGTAGGTTTGACTGCAGAAGATTTATTTTTTTAAGCCAAATGCAATGCAATTATGGTTACTATTTTTTTCAGCCATTAAGTTTATTTATCAGCAAGATGATGTAAAAACTTATTTGAATTTCTTTCTTCTATTCAAATTTAACAATTAGGTCATGAAGCAAAAGAATATCCCATTCAGAATTTCCAAAAATCTAGATCATTTGTCCTAAAATATGTAAAGTTTATTAGTTTTATTGAGGATTTTCATCTTGTATGTATTTTTCTGTGTGACTGGTGTGCTTTTAAACATGCCTCTAAGGCTGTGTACATTTATTATGCCTTCATCATTAGTGTTTTTAACAGTTCATTTATTTTACCCCACATTTGTAACCAAAACATTAATTGATTCATAATTAAATATCGAAGGCGAAACGTTTCAGCACAAAAAATAAACTGTCCAGATGACCTGACTGAAAAATGTTGGATAATTAAATATATTTTCATTAAGTCAAACTTTTTCTATTCAACAGTAACACAAAACTGCAATCCTCATTTTTGGCAATCCTATTAATTTGATCTCTATATTCTCAAATTTCTTTTTAAACAGAGCTATTAGATCCAAAGCTGGATTGTTTTATGGTACGTTTGTGTTTGGCTGGGCTTCACAGTTGTTAGAGAGCAGTTCATCTGCGGTGCATGTACAGTAGCAGCAGTGTTACACACACAGCTTGACATCAGCTCATTCATCTGGTTGACCTGTGTGTTGTCAATGCTCCTAATGAGGGAGGCTGGCTGTGCACGCTTCCCCTTTGTCCTTGCACCGGCCTCCTTTTCTCTCCAATACACAACCGCAATTTTAAATTCATATCATGCTCCCTTATCAGCAGACGTGCAGATTTGTTATGTTTGACCTGCATCTTGTTATTAATGATGAGGAACAAATTTAGGCTGGCTCTGAGAATTTAAAAACAAAATGTAAAAAGAATTTTGCTTTTGGTGCTTCCGCTTTGTTTTATGTGGAATGATTTGTGCTGAACTGAAACTAATGCATGCATAGGAACCAGACACTCACGGGTGAAAGGGTCTGAGGCAGAGGGGTTAACGCTGTCGCTGCTATCCCCACTCTCGCTGCAGGAGACCTCATCATCAGACTCCCGCACAGAAGAGCACGGGGAGGAGGAGGCTTCCACCTCGTCAAATTTTCTCTTCAGTATTCCGCTCATGGCCTGCCGCATCTGCACCTGAAACCGAGACACAGCAAAAGGGGCCCTACATTATTTAATATCCAGTTTAGGACCTTCATAATCTCCTGTTCACTCAATTAGCCACCAACCTTAACTTCCCCGACCACCACACATGCATGCACACACACACACACACACACACTTGCTGCTGTCCCAGCTTCCAGCGTTCCCTGGGCCATTGATCACACTGGCACAAAGGAGCAAAGAGGGAACAGTAAAGCTGCTAATTACAAACTACATCTGCCACAGAAGAAGTTCATTCCACTGAGTTTGATTGAGAGTTTCAAGAAAACATAGAGACTGGCCCAATATGTCCTGCTCTGCAACCCATCAGGATAAACTTTGGAATAAAGCCAATTATCTACAGTACTAGGTTCTATTGACAGATTTAATCAATAATGTCATTACAATGTAATAAACAAACAAAAAAAAAACACTGGATTGCATTTTAAAACAGAACAATTCATATCAAAACAATGTTATGTCTCAGAAAGATATTCAGTCAATTAGAATATAATTGTAATGAGGTGGTTACTGTATGAGTAGTCCCTCGCCACGTCGCGGTTCAACTTTCGTGGACTCGCTCTATCGCGGTTTGAGAACATCCAGTCCATAATATAAAATATTGGACCAAAAAAAAAAAAATAAATATATATATATATATATATATATATATATAATAATTAATTTATTAATATTACTCGCATGATTGGGACAGTACTGGATAGTATTGTACAATAAAAAGTTAACAAAAAAATAAAATATTTTGGATAGGTGCCGCCATTTTGTAGTTTTCTCTCAGTAAGCCTCCACTTCCCACTCCCTCTCATAATGACCACATTTCCCAGAAGGCAACAGGGCCCCGCTCAGAAGCCCCATTTCCTTCTGCTGAAAATAAACAAAGTGCAGTAAAGTTTTGATCTGATCGGTGCCCAGCGGATGCAGAGAAGCTGCACAGACTTCCAGACCCATTGGTGAATCTTGAGAGTTGGTCCACGAGGACTTCGAAGCGTGGACATGCGCAGAAGGTCCTGAGATGTTTTGTGGCCCATCGGAAGTTTTTTCATCCCAACTTGGACTCAATTCGACCACATACAGTCACACACCGGCCAACAGAAGGTCTGTCCTCCCCCCAAATGCGCATCAACTAGAACTGGACCTCCAGACTCAGCGGTGAACCTGAGAGCTCCAGGGACGTACTTACAAGTAAAATTTATTAGCTACATATAAATATGTTGATAAAATTAGTAGGTAACTTAAGAGTTTAGAGGTCTGATTTTGGGCTTTGTTGATGCAGGTTTGGTCACTCTGCAGAAACAAACTAGGTCCAACCAGAACCGAGAGTCTAGCTTGTGTTGCTTAGCTCAGAGCTAGTACAGTACCAGTATGTACAATTTATTAGCTACATTAACAGTACTGTGTATATGTTGTTAAAATTATGTAGGTTTAAGAGTTTAGAACATTGCAAGAGTGTGGGAAGGGTTTCTAAAGCCTTAAAATATATATAAATACTAAAATAAGCATAGTGTCTCTACTTCGCGGTTTTTCACTTATCCCGTGATAAATGAGGGACTAATGTATAACACATATGCAAAACCATATGTACCGCATTTACTGCCATACTTGTCACACCACCTTATATGTCACTCAGTACCCATATATGTCTAATAAAGTGGGGGAAAAAAATACATAAATAAGTCGCTTCACCGTATACATCACATCTATTATACGTCACCACTGATGTGTCGCGTTTGTTACACGTCACCGCTGACAACCTGGAAATGTGGGCCGGTGTTGTGCCAAAAATCAATTGGCTGCCAAATGGTGGCATGGGAGCGTGCGCAGGAGGACTTTAACAAGATTAATACTTAAAAACTATTATTCGTTTAATTGAAATTATAGTAAAGTTGTGTCTCAGTCTAACATTTGCTTAATAAATTCACTTTGACGGTCAAATCAGCTGCATTTCAAAAGCCGATACGCAGAAGTAGGCGCCTGCACGGGAGGACTCGCTGTGCATTTCTTCGAAATTTAACAAGATAAGCACCTAAAAACAATTATTTGTCTGCTCGACTTTATATTAAAGGTGTGACTCAGTTGAACTTTTACTAAAAAGACTTTAATGGTCAAATCTGCTGCATTTCAAAAGTATTCACCGTCTCGGTGCTCCAGGAGCACGCAGACAGGAAGGAAATCAGGAAGGATGAATGATGTGTATTTCTTTGAAATTTAACAAGATAAGCACCTAAAAACAATTATTTGTCTGCTCGACATTATAGCAAAGGTGTGTCTCAGTTGAACTTTCACTTAATAAATGCACTTCAATTATCAAATTAGCTGCGTTTCACTGGGGCGGTGCAACGAAATGAAGCTGATTTGACGGTTGCTCCAAGCGAGCTGGACGAAGGTGGCTCTCTATGGCAAGCCAATTGTGTCATTAATAGCCCCCTTTACCTATTACATGACACAATGGCAAGCCATACTACTCGAGTGCCATCTAGCGGCTGAAAATGGTAGTGTTCAATATTTTCAGTCAGAATGAATGAAAACGGTCATATCTCAGCTAAAAATTGATTTATAAATATGGGAAAAAAAATCCATAAATATGTTGTTTCGACGTATAAGTCGCAGGGCATGCAGATTATGAAAAAAAAACATGATGGGTGAAAAATACTGTAGTTATCCAAATGAGACAATTTATTACTTCATCTACCAGTAACATCAAGTGACAGCAACCATATGTGGTTCTAGAGGGACAAGGTTCAGCAATATTTTATGCACAGTCTAAAAAACAATATTAATCATTATATTAGATTAGAGCTGCATAATATTGGGAAACGTCCAGTTGCCATTTTACTGTTGACTATTGTAATGATAGTGGTTATAAACCCACATCTTCATCACAACACTCACCATGTGCTTATGCATGTTTACCACGATAATATAAATCAACTATGGGTATTTAATTCAATTCAAATCAAAAATACTTTATTAATCCCAGAGGGAAATTATTTTTTGTTGAACTCGTTATTCTCATTTCATTAAGAGATGTTATAGATGCTGATGGCTGTAGGCAGGAAGGATCTCTTGTAAAGGTCCATCCCAAGGAAGCTCCATCATAAGGAAGATGATTATCTGATTATCAAATGAATTTGTGGAATCCCAATTGTGCTTATGTTGACCTAAAGTCCTTTGTACACACTGACATTACACCCTTACCTCGTTTTCATTTAAATGTTTGTGGTTTTGCTCATCATGTAATAGATTTTATAAGAAACCCCATCACTGTCAAGAGCAATCCAGTTCATTAACTCCCCTGACTGATGATGCAATTAGACAAATAAACAAGAACAGGCTCATCAGTCAAATACACTAAAACTAATTGCTATTACAGTGAATTTGTCTCTTATAATAAATATGACTGCAGCCACCAGACAAAAATCATTTGGCTTTCTTTTTTCATCCTTTCAAAAACATCCTGATATTACTAGTCAGCATCTAATAGACTTTAACACATGATTAGTTTCAATAATGTGGAAAATAAAGCTTTTTAATCTAATAAACTGTATATGCGTGTGTTCTTTGATTTTATAGAATAATTTGGAACATCATGTCACATTAAAAAGAAAAAAAAAACATAACAGTGCTGCAGTGGCACGACAAGGAATGCAATGATTGGCAGCTTCTCCTTCACTGATTTTTCCTCTCAGAACGTGGAATCAGTAGAGACAGCATGCGTCTTCAGCCAGTCCCACGCTGTCTATCTGCCAGAGCAGCTTGTGGGGGAGTTTCATTCACAGACAGCCTCGGCGTTTCATCTGGGCTACGCTATCAAGTCATTACAGATGCAAATGCTGCCTGAGAGAGATGTGCACAAGCCAGAGAGGACTTGCAATGCCAGCAAGAGGGTCATTGTTCCCTGGAGGCTGTGTTTGTTCTGTGCAGTCACGTGGCGCCGCCAGCATTTGGAGAAGTTCCAGAGTCAACACATTTACCTACAACTAAGGAATGTGAAGCATCTTCAATATGAGGAAACGTGATTGAGAGGGAAGTCGGTCAGGATAACCTCACAATAGATTTCTTATCAAAAATAATTCATCATAGTTTGGATAAGAAATGTCCAGAAAAGGAGGAAACTGCCTTTTATGGAAGTCAAGAAACTAAAGCTCTGTGCTGAATGAGCATGATGGGAATAAGATTAACTAAAGAAGGAGTACTTTACATAAGTCTATTTTATGAGATTTAACATTTAGACTAAGAGAAGCTGCTGATCTCACATGAAAAATGGATTTTGTTCACAATCCACTTCATTTGTTGGTGAGCAGAAGTGGAAATTTCCACCAGAGATAACCTGTGCAATTTTTGTCCATTTCCTAGCCAAGGTCCTAATTAGATCCCATTGTTGAAAGCACATCCGTATGCTTAGCCCTTAGCTGATGCTGCACTAGGCTTTGATATCAAAAGTGGTTTCCATGGAGATTCTAATGTACTCTCACAAATAGTGCTTCCCCATATGGCCGAGCTTCCAGTGTTACATACTGTGCATGGGGATCCTAATAAATAAAACTGACGTTGTATGAAATTATGTTCATACATTTGATTCCTCCTCAAATTAAGGCTTCATTTGCATTTTGTTGTGCCCGAATAAAAAGTTAAAACCTTGATGTTGAACGAGCAGAACATATACCACAGTCTTTCATCGAGGGCTAAATAAAAAGCAGAGATTGTTGCTCCTCTCCAACAGCTCTTTCTTTGTCTTCACTGTTGCCTTTCCACTAATCGTGGCTCAGTGCACACACACTGTTGTAAAAGGGAGAAAATCTCAGAGAAAATAATGCAGCAAAAAGCCAGCTTGGAAAGCCCCTCCCTGTGTTAGCCTCTGAGTGAACACAGGAATTGCAGACATCAACTTCTTATCCCTCAAGAACAGTATTCACAGTTCTACAACACACACAATGACAATCTGCTCATTATACACAAAGTTACAACTAGGACTA